AAATTTTTCTGACATTGTTTATTTTTTTCTTTGCAGGCTTAAGAAAGTGAGTGTAGTGTAGTGGTTAAGGTGTTGAGCTAAGCCCAGGAAGACCCTGATTTTAGTCCTGCTTTTTTTTTTTTTCTCAACCCAATTTTGTGGAAAAATAGGAGGAAATGCTACGTAAACTGCCTGAAGTTCCCTAAGTAAAGTGGGATAAAAACTTAATAAGTGAATTAGAGCTAGAAACTTGCTTGGTTTTAGAAAGAAGACAAAAGAACCTGATCCTTACATTATATTTCCAATACCAGGTGTGACAGTGAGTAAGCCCTACTCAGATGTAATCTCTTGATAAGTAATACTTTGACATTAGTGAATCCTCCATACTTTAAATTAGGGTTCAATTTGATCTCGATCTCTTACTCCCTACTCCCTCTGTCTATAAATGTCTCAGCAGGTGGTAGCATCCAACAGACCTTGGCTGGTCTCAAAAGCTTAGTAGGATTGGACCAAATTAGTAACTCAGTAAGAGAATATCAGGGAGTTTCAGAGGCTGTAAAAGCTAGACTGGGATGTCCAAAAAATCCTGGCAAATCCTTCTGTAACCAAAAATAACTGCACGGACGCAGTAACCAGGAATTGAGCTGCAGTAACCATGACAAATTTACCTTATTCAGAATTAGGTTCACCACTCATTATAGTAAAATCATAGCGGACTTAATGGATTGAATTCCCTAAACCAGGATTTCTCAATCTTGGCCACTTTAAGATGTGTGGACTTCAACTCCCAGAATTCCCCAGCCAGCATATCCTAATACAGGTAGTCCTCACTTAATGACCATTTGTTTAGTGACTGTTTGAAGTTATGATGGCACTGAAAAAAGTAACTTATGACTGGTACTCGCACGTATGACTGTCACAGCACCTCTGGCTGTGGTGGCAGCCAGCTCGCACTTACAACTGCAAGATTTGCTTAACAACCATGTGATTCACTTAATGACTGCACTGATTTGCTTAATGACTGCCGCAAAAAATGTAAAATTGGGTCTGGTCACATGATGCCTTGCTTAATGACTGCCCCACTTAACAACAAATTTTCTGGTCCCTATTGTGGTTGTTAAGTGAGGACTACCTGTATATATTTGTGTCCTAGTGCATATAAAAGAAGGCTTTCTTCCTCCCACACTTTCATTATAGAAATACAAGAAAAGGAGAAACTGTAGATAGGCAATAAAGCCTAATAAGATACTATAACTGTTCAGATTTGATTCCAACAAGTGTTTGGAGCATGAACATAGTATCTGTTTGCAATTCTTTAAACCAACTATGTCATTTTCTGGGATCAGATGGATCCTGCATACTATAAACATCTTTCTGCATTGTAAAATCCTGAAAGATACCTCATCCTTATTGCATTGAGAAGAAAATGAAAAGAGCCAAGCACTAATATTCTTATGGCAACAAGAATAGACTATATACTGTATATGAAGACATGCTAATATTTCCTTATGTCATATTTTGTGTTTGCTGGATGCTAGCTACCACAGCTCCAGCCGCAGAATTACTTTGAACACGCAATTCACATAGCAAGAGATATACTTTGAATGCTGATAATAGGTTTCCTGGCATTCTGGTTATACTTTGAATTTAATACAGCTTTTGAGCATCATTGTGGCATAAACTTTGGCAGGCTTGATGCATCAAGTTAAGATGACCTTTACAATGGACTAATCTTGCCACTTCTTATTTTGTTTTTGTTTTGTAATAGGATGGCTTAATATATCAGGAAAGAATAAAACAATTAGTTATGGAAAGAATAATCTTCTCATAACATTAGTGAACCTACACAACATCCTAAACTTAATGCATGTTTATTTGGAAGAAAGTCACAATTTGTTCATTTGTCCTTAGGTCCAAATGTGCATGCATATGACATAGTCATATAAATTGGGAGTAAAGAAGAAATCTGATAACGTGTCACAAGAATTTGGAGTTTTTCCATCTACAGTAATGAGAAAAAACAAACCTGGAGTAATATGCACATATATTCAACACCCTTCAGAATTTAATTTGAAATTGAGCATGATTGAGTCATATTTCATTGATTTCCCTCCCACCCCCTATCAGTGGGACCAATTTTTCATTCATAACCACACATTGTTATGTCATGCAGTAGATCTTTCATCTTCTAGTTTTAGAGCTAATTCCTTTGGTGCTTATCCTTGTGACCCAGAATCACAGCTTCACAGCTGCTAGTTGAACAGTACTAGGACTTGTGGATCGCATGCAATTGTTTGCAACCCCTCCCATATTTTCAACTGTAGGAAGTGTATGATGATCTTTTATTTCTCCATTTGGACTGCTGGTCTGTTAAAATTCACTATGTATACAAACTACACTGTGTGTAATTTATCTGGAGTCTGATTTATGGACTTTCATTAGCAAACTAATTAAAATGTTTCAGATGTTAAAATTTGAAATTTTAACATTTGAAACATCCTTTTGTTGTAAGCACATGCTTTAATTTATAAACACCTTACTTGGTTGAAGTTCTGAGAAGTTTTAAATACAGAATACAAATTAACAAGATATATTTTCCAAAAGTAGTACTGCATTCAGAAAGGTGTATTCCTTTTTGCAAATTTAAATACTTTTTCACACTTGTGTAAAAATGCATTACTGTACATTTTACTGTATTATATATTAATTCTATCCCTGAAAGACCAACATTGAATTGTAATCATAAATTTTGTACCATTGACTCAACAATTGTGCTCCCTACAATTGTGGTTTGTTGAATTGTGTTGAATAAAGTGATCTCTCTTGTGGTAGAGATTATGTGGGTAGAAGATGTTGATTATTTACTCAATTATTTTAATGAATAGCTTGTCCTAAAATCTAGTGAGGTTCATTATACATCACAAAGCGGGAGTGGGATGGCTCCTTGTTTCTTTTTTATGTAACTTTACCTTTTTAAACTGATATAAGAAAAATCAGTTTTTTTGGATGGATTTGTATTTGTTCTTATGCATTGCATCTGCATTTAAATAATTTAATTTGCACTTAATAGATATTTAGTTCTTTATTGGGTATATTCAGAAAACAGATAACATTTTTGTTTCAGATTGAAGCAAACTTGTGTTCTGGAAGTTATGCTGAACTGTTTTGGATTGCTTGGGATTCAACACAAACAAATTCTAGAATGTTTTGATTATTCTGGTTTTGGGGAGTTGGGCAAGATTGGTGCATGTTGCACCCTCTCCTTCCCATCTGCTGGCCCACCTGTCCCTCATCTTCTTAGTACCCTCCCATGTTTCAGTGCCCTCCTTCCCCTCAGCTGGTCTAGCCATTGATGTCCACGCACCCCATGGCCAAGGAAACTCCTCAGCCTTGGCTTTTTCTCACACTCACCTCCTGAAGTGCTTTTGTTTGGAACAACATCAGTCCATATCTGGATCAAAACAGCCGCGTTCCATTTTGTATACAGTTTTTTTTCGTTCGGTTATGTGCTATCCCAAACTGGCTGTTCTGTTCATGGAATGGTTCATACCACCAGAATGTTTAGCACATTCTTTATACGCTTTTTAAAATGCAGTGGGGATGGCATGTCAAGCCTGAGAGTTGCTTTATGATTGTAGTTTTTAACAAAAGTCTAATTCTTAGCATAAATGAATTCTTCAATTTCATACACATTGTTCTTATTCTGTACAGGAAATACAGTACAGTATTTGAATTTAAATAACTTTAATTTCTTTATAAGTCTACTATGTAAGACTTTTAAAAATTCACTTTAGAATACCAAGTGCCTTCAAGTATAGTATTTTGTTTGATTGGCTTGCATAGAGAGTAGTATAATACTGAACTGTATAATTTAATGTTATATTCTTGAAGCCAGTAAGATGAAAAATAATGGTTAATGGCACATTGCGCTCAAGAGTAAATTCCAGACTTTCCAGGACTTAATCTAGAATAGTGTATTCCTGTTTTGCCATTCCAAAGTTTACAGTACAAGTTTTTTTCCCCCCTGTATATAGTATAACCTCTGAGTCATACCTATAAGGGGTTCTTCTCTCCTGTACTAAAGAGCCTTGCTGTTCCTTAGGGGTGAGGCAATTTGAGTCATCCTGAATGGTTTGTCCTGGCATATGTTTCATGTCCATAAACTGAGATGGGGGGGCTGAGCAGCAGGAAGCCTTAGTGTGAATCCTGTTTAAGAACAAATATTGCAACCAGGTTATGCTGGTAACTATTGTATACTGGGTGCAGATTTTTAGGGTTCAAACATAAATTTCATATGTTGTAATTCTGATCTTAAAAAAAGTGTTGAATTTTATTTGCAATTGAGAATGGGGATAGGAGAAATAATTTTTAAAAAGCCATGTTAAACTGTTGCTGTTCCGTGTTAATAATGAAAAAAAAATAGTATATAGATGAAATGAATGAGTTCTACAAGTAACAGAAAATGTTTTGTAAAAAAAGAGAAAAGGAAGGGTATATTTGATTCTGGATCCATATATAAGAGAATTGGCTAATTACCTTGACAAACGGTAGTTTAATTTTCTTTTCCCTTAAGGCTGTTTATCCTCTTAACTGCTTTGTTTTCTTAGATGAATCAGAAATGTTACCTAATTAAATGAGCACAGAAATTGGAAGAAAGGGAATATCATAAATAGGAATCAATTGATTTATAAAGCAAGTTTTCAATGCTTCAGCTAATTTTTCCATGTGCTAGATACTGAATAGTTCTGAATGTGGCTGAAGCAAGCAAGTTTCCTGCTTTAAAGCACTAGCAGTCAGGCTGGGCGTTTTCAGTTTCTAACGCTGCCTCCCCCTCCCAATGAATGTCCTTTGTGTAACCCCAGCTAATTCAGAAATCTTTCTGTGTAGTGAGGACTGCCCTATCATGTGACAGAGGCAACCAGTTGCAGCCTGTGATTGGCTAGCTCTTAGAGAGCTAATTAGCGGCTCTGTATAAGAACTCCCTGCCCTGAAGTTAGAAGAACCTTTACTCACACTGCTTAGTTACGTGTAAGTTAAAATGCTGAGGCTAGCCACGATTTAGCAGCAGCATGTGATAAAGTTTAACACTTGCGTGGGCTTGATTGAGCCAAGCGGTAGACAATAAAACCAGCTGCTGCCAATCTGGATTAATGAGCATCTTCTAGGGGTTGGTAACTGCCACTTTAAGATTGCTTACCCCTTTCCATGGACTGCAATTGAGAATCTTTGATGGGAACTTGTCTGAGCTTATTTTCCTTTCTTGTTTTTAATCACAGGAATGAAGCATTGATGACACTTTATCAGCACTGGAAAATGACTGTAGGGGGAAGCCTTTCATTCTGCCTTCTCTTAAAAGCTTTTTGTGATTTGACTTGTCTAGCTGTGATGGTGAAGGATTGTTAGTTAACGGAAGCTGAAAAAGGCATCACCAGGAAGTATTGCTGACTGGGAATGGGTAAGTGTGATGCAATATTGGCTCTTGCTACACATCATCTCTTAATGCAGAATGTGTAAAAAAAAATGTCCTGAATTTTAGATCTTCCACAGTGTGAATAATAGTGTAATTAAAATCAAGTATAATGATTCTTTAATTTCCTTAACCTCTTTTGGTTTAGCATAGGTGAAATAAACAGTTTGCTTTGAACTTTTTGGACAGATAGTTCAATTACTAAGAGACATGAAAGTGACCGAAAAGATAAATACTGTAATTCAGGACAATGTTTTAAGGAAAGAACATGGTTTTATTTTGCTGTTTCTGTTACTATAAATTTACAAGTTTCTATTTTCAGGTAGGAAATGTAGGAAACATTTTTGGGTAGTGAAACTTTAAGGAATATTTTTGGAAGACAAGCGTGGTTTTTAAATTGATCATTTCCCTTTCTACTAACATTATGCAGTAACTGGCAGAGGTACATTGTTATAAACTTAAATATCAGTATACAGTCTTCTGAGAATGAAACAGACTTAAAAAAATGCTACTTTTCACTGGCTCAGCTCCATAACAATTCTTTCCTGACATAATTTATTAACCTTTTTTTTTTAAAGGAACTTGTTATTAAATCTATTGGTACAGTATAATTTAGGAGTGTAAAAAGTGTATAATATATATATTAGTAAAGAAAATCTGGTACAATGTATTCTGATTTTTGAATGAACCTTCTAAGTAACAAAGCTGTCATTTGCTAAGAGAAATTTTTTTTTTTTTTTTTTTGGTATTAGTCATGCTTCCTTCAATTCGCTCATTTACAGATTTTCCTTATAAGAATAGTTGTCTTGAAACAAATAGAGGAAACAATTAGTTGGTGGTCAATAAAATTTAAGTAGGACTATAATCAGGGAAAAATACAGTGAACTTGTGTATAGAATGTCTTATTTTTATTTACAGTTTTTGGCCTAAATTGGTTTTTTGATAGCAAGCTTGTAGCTTTTGTGATGTTTGAAGTTTTTGTGGTGTTTGAAACTCACTGCAGAAAATGAAGTCAACTTTTACTCTGTAATTTCTCTATCTATATTCATTTTTTTATCCAACATTCAAAATTACACAGGAAGTTCTTAATGAGAAGAGCAATGAAAAAGGAATAGGCGTTCAGATAAGCATACTTTTTAAACAACTCTGTTCCTTATTAAACTGGAAAGAATGTGAACTCCACCTTGGCAATAATTCTTGCCCTAGCTAAGGTGTGTCCAATGAACACCTGGGAAACAGATACCTGCTAGATATAAGTAAATTTAGGGGAAGGCTTTATATTTATTTTGTCATAAAAGATAGGGTTTCTTATTTAAGCTTCAGTCTAAGACTTATAGGTAATTTTTTTCAGTGTAGTATTATATCTGGATATTCTTGAATGTAAAAGAAGCCGTTGTAGCTTAAAAATATCCAGCTATTACTTTTTGAAAAGTGAGTGATCTAAACATCTCATTTTCATTTTATTTACCTGATTTTGAAATATTAGTGAAACGAATTACATTAAGATACGTTTGCTGATTGTGTTTTTAATATTTACATATGTCCAATGAAATAGCTCTCCCATGTCATGTTTTCACTAAATATGCAAAACACTGAAAAGGTGACTTAATTATAAAAGTTTTTGCCTCATTAACCCCTTTGGTATCTGGATACTTGGCAAAATCAGAAGAAAAAAGAGTTTTTGTTTTATAAACATGTGGAGGTTTAGTTTTGGTTTTTTGCCAATCATAAAGTTTCCTATCTGGTGACATGTCCATGCAGCTTTCTTGGCAACAGTAAGGAAGCTGTTTAGCATGGCCTTCTTCCGGGATGTTCCAGTCTATCTTACAGCCTTGTTTTCCCTAGGAGTCTCCCACCTAAGTACTAACCAAGCTTGATACTGCTTAGCTTTCAGCACCTAGACAAGATCAATCAGGTGATGTCAAAGAATTGTTGGTAATGCAAAAGAAATGCTGGAGTATGGTTACTATCTTCAACATCTCAAATCCATTTACAATGTTGAGTATTTATCTGTGGTAATAGAATATGTGAACTTTTAAAAAGGTCTTCATATATATGTATGTATGTATTCATATTCTGAGTGCTGTTCTGCAGACAGCGAGAGCCAGTTCCAATCAAATTATCTATCATATTACGGAGTATCTGTTTAGATTTATGAGTCAGAGAAGATATGATTAAAGTACTGTAATTTTGGAATCTCCTTAAAATATACTTCCAGGTTTTTATTTCCATACAGTATTTTAACTTGTTAGCTTTTAGCATTTCACTATTATATAACTGTATGTACCAGGCATTTACAGATACTTCCCAACAAGTACTGGCTATATCTCCAGAATAACAGTAAGAATTTTCAGACATTTGGTGATTGCTCATTTTATTTGCATATGCTACTTAGACAGTCAGAAGTCTGTTACATGAACACATACATCAAAGGTACTTGCACTTCTGTTGAAAAGGTACAACTCCACAACTTTCTTGAGCTGCTTCTCATTTCCAAGAATAGTAAACACATTCTTTCCTAATCTTAACCTTAAATATGCTTGTGTGAATGTGCTAGTTCTGCACCATTTAATTGTTATGATTATCTTATTAAAGCATATATCATTACAAAGATAACTTTATACTGATTTTTGTATTAACAAGGGTTGGAGAACAATGTTGTAAAATACTACTTTAATTTTAAAATTATTTTATAAGAGATAAAAGCATAACTTCAATTATTTTGAACTACCAGATGCTTAAAAGATAAAGTTAAAAATAGTTCTCAGGTATTAAATATGAAAGACCTAAGAACCAGTTCATTCTAAACAAGGTAAAGAGATAAAGACAATGTTAAGATGAGATCAACACTTCAGCTGCTTTGGGAGAGACATTCTTTGTCTTATCAAGAGGTATAATCTAGATATAGTGTTCAAGGATGAATGGCAAAACAGAGCTTAATAGGCATGATGTCTTAATAGGCATGATGAAAAGATTAGTTTTTTAATAGTGATTGTTGTCAGCTTTCTTAATTTCATTTATTGTTCACTTGGTTCCTTATCCTTACCATGTTTTGTGTCCATAAATTTTTCATCCTTTTCCTAATCTATAGTAATATAAGCAAGTTTCCATGTTACCTTATCAGGAATATTTAATTAAATTAATTAAATGTCCATTTAATGTAGACCATATAAATTTATTATGAGTCTGCCATCTTTAATGGATATGAAAACAGTCTTTAAAAGCCTCAGTAATTGCACTGAAATTGAAAGGGAGAAGGCAACAGTAGCAGTTTCTGTCTTCCAGTCAGAAGATAAGTTGGTGGGAAAAGAAGTTGCAATACAAAGAATATGTATTCCTTGATGTTCTAGGCCTTCCTAGAGTTGAAATAGTGAGTGATTATGTATAGAAGTGACAATGGTAAAATTCTACATCAGAGTGAGAGGAAAATTGTTATCATTTTCTGGACATGAAAATGGGAGGAGCTGTCTGTGGGTTTCCCTTGGAGATCAGGAACTCTGTTGATTTCAGTAGGGTTAGGTGTTTCCGACTGTCCTTAAGTTTAAACTGATAAGTATCTTAAATATTGGGTCTTCATATTTTGCAGCGTAAGTTGAATATTAATGATCATTTTCTTTTAAAACCAATTTTAGAGCCTATTTCATGATGTAAACAGTTATCCACTGGGGTACATTTAATACAAAGTCTAAAAGAATTATGATTCTGGCACACAGGATTATATTTTGAATGAAGTATCATATGTATAATATAAGTTACACTCTCTCTAGGTATATACATTACTTTGTTTTACTAGTCTATTTCAGATATAAAGTGAAGAATGTTCTAACTTGCCATTGGGAAACACATCAAAACCAGACTAATTATGTTTTTCAGTCTGCAGACGTTATTGCACTATAAGGGCTAAATTACACTTTGTTTCTCCCTCCAAGTATTGAGAGTATTCACTAAATTTTTCTTTGCTTTTTTGTGTTGCCAATATTAGAAGTTTAAGAAGTTTATATGGAGGTCCTTCTTGTGGGTATTTGGTGTCTGTGCCTTTCAACTTCCATCAGCCCCTACAGCACCGTCAGTGGAAAGGGATTCTGGGACATGAAGTCGAAAACATCAGGAGGGTACAAGGTCTCTTATCCCTGCTATATGCAGATCTAAACACCAAAGGTTCCTGTTGCCCTGCTCCTTGAAAAAATGCTTGTGGCTGGGAGGAAGGTTTTCATTAGCACTGCAGCCAAGAACTAGGGTTGTAATACACCTGCTTCACCCAGATGGGAATAAAGAAGCAGTTGTTTTATGGTAGCAAACTAGCACTTAGTAGAAGGGAGATACACACTTGGTATGTTCTAGCTTTCTCCTTCTTAATAAGTCTGGCAGTATTAATCATATCTGAAGTGTATATTTTATAATGTATAAAATAGTGTCTATTTCTAATGTTAAGGATCACATAAAATATCTAACACAAATGTATGAAAATTATATTAATTGTCCCTTAGTAGTACCACAGCAATAAGTAACTAATACACGGTATGATCACTTGATTGGAAATGAGATTCTCAAATCAGTATCACTTATCAAAACCTTTTAGACATACCATCCTTAGTCTTCCTTAGACTTTTTTCTCTTTCACATCTTAAACATTTCTTGAAAAAGAGGCAATTTTATTATCCCTTACTGCAGTAGTCCCAACTGACTACTTAGGAATAATTCCTATTGAGTATAGTTGGGCAACTCCTAGGTAAAGAAGCTAAAGGACTGCAACCTTGGGTTTTAATTTTAAAAGTGTACCTCAGGAAGTAAGCCTCATTGATAATTATTAGTAACTTCTAAGTAGGCATGCTTAGAATTGGGGTGTTAAAACAACCGGATTTTTACACGAGTGAAATGGATCTCCAAACATATATGCTTTTTAATATGTTTGTTGGTAGCTTTTTAACTTATATAATTTTCTCATGATGTAAAACACAATGATTTGGTATATTTTTGTGATCTCTTTT